CATGTCCACTAAAAAGCTGAAACTCAAAGGAAAAGATACAACATCAGTGTTTTCATCTCTCTGCTAAGGATGAGGTTTATCAGTTAAAACTATAATACAAACAGCAGAGTACAGCACATTGCCAAGATAAGTTGTAATGGATAGAGGAACATAGAGCAAATGATTGTAAAATAAAGCCCAAGCATTAAGAAGCTTTTCTGGTTTTCATATAGGGTCTAATACAAACCTCACTGAAACTGATCCAAGTCTTTCCACTGTGGCTTTTGGATCAGGCCCTCATTTAGAGGACGAGACACAGGAAGCACACATGCAATTCAAACAATCCAACAACCTTGTGATTCTTTTGGTGGCAGGAGATGTCTTTTACTAGCGAACCACCCAAACAAAATGTAGTGTTACACTGAAGTGGGATGCGGCTAGATGCCAAGCACATATTGGTCCCAATTCCTCGCTGGTGCAAATCCAGTTTGGTGCCCAACAGCAATGAGAGATGGCTCCTCTTTGTGCATGTTCGACAATTAAATCTGTGTGCAGGTTCCTTCACACTGAGTAGCAAGTGCTAATGTAGCGTAATCCAAAGACTAGATTCTTTTCACCGTTTTCAGTGGGAGCTGGGCTGCATTGCTAATTAAAGAGAAGTAGACCCCAATGTTCTTCATATGCAAACTGCAGCTCCAAATAGTGTAAACTTTGTGGTTTACAGGAGGGTTGTTAAAATGCATTTATTCAGGTAAATGTGTAATTTCAGCAGTTACATGCAAGGGGCAGTTCGCTCCCTGGGAGCCAGTGTGTGTGGGAAGCTGGCTTCCCATGTGCACGGGTTCCCTCCTGCTCTCCCTTTCCCCCCCACACTGCTGCCTCTGCCCAAGCTCATTGGTTAACCATGTATGTATACCGTTACACATTCATATCTCTAGTTTACAGTGACATTTTTTGCAAAAAACATTGCTTCCAGTGTAAAGATGTGCTACTGTAACCCATACTACTGCCAATGACCAGAGTCTGTTGGTGTTACACTACAATCTCTATAGAAATATAGTAGACTCATGTGAGTGTCCAACACTGGTGATGGATTTGTGCTCAGATTATTCCATTATTTTACTATTCTTTAAGAAGCAAGTGCAACTTGCACCGTGAAAGTAAAAGCCAATGCTGACCCAGCACCTGGGCTATGTCTAGACTGCAAGCCTCTTTCGAAAGAGGCTCTTTCAAAAGATACTTTCGAAAGAGCCTCTTTCGAAAGAGAGCGTCTAGACTGCACGTTGAACTTTCGAAAAAGCGGCTTGCTTTTTCGAAAGAAAGCATCCAGTGAGTCTGGATGCTCTCTTTCGAAGAAGCCCTATTTACATTGAAGAACGCCTTCTTTCGAAAGAGGAACTTTCGAAAGAAGGCGTTCTTCCTCGTGAAATGAGGTTTACCGCCATCGAAAGAAAAGCCGCGTTCTTTCGATTTAATTTCGAAAGAACGCAGCTTGAGTCTGGACGCAGGGGAAGTTTTTTCAGAAAAAGGCTACTTTTCCCAAAAAAAACCCTGAGTCTGGACACAGCCCTGGAGTCATGATTACGTGATTACCTCTCCTTTCATTTTTCTGACAACAGTTACGTTTCTAACCCTAACAATTGCAGAGAAAAAGTGGAAAGCATGACCCACAAAAGTTGAAAAACTAGAAGGGAAACAAGAACAAAAATTTCAAAAATCGACCGTTTTTAAAATGCTGTGGTTTTTGAGTCAGTCTAGTGATCTTTGAATGCTTGGTAAAACTGGAAAAATCAGTGCTCATGCTAGCCCTGCATCAACTGGTTATAAAGAAGTGGGAGCTGCAAACTGCAGCATTTAGCTACTGGCCCAAGTAAGGAGCCATGCAGAACTGAACCACACATGAGTAGCTCATAGAAGGATTATGCCTCTCTGAGCAGCCTGCTAGGCAGGTTGAATTCATTGTTTTTAAGATGCAGCAGCCTGCTTCAACAGCCCCCCAGAGGCTGGCCCAAACTACATCCTGGTGTGCAGGGAGTATGGAGAGAGGCGCATGGCCTCTTCTTCTTCCTGGCCCAGTTCGGGCACATTCTGGGGCTTCCTCAAAAACTGGGAGTGCAACTGGGAGAGGCCCTTCTGTGGGGTCCACAATAGGGATGTTAAATTTTGATTAATTAACTAATCTAATAGTCAATGGGATTTCCATCGACTATTCGATTAGTCTATAAGGGCGCCTCCACTTTTGAACTGTAGCAAGAGCCCTGTTGACTAGTTGACTGCTGCTGGGCTCTTGCTACATTACAAAAGCGGAACCTGAAGAGAGCATGGTGCTAGCACTGAACTAGCCCCGCACTCCCTGTGGGGCTTCTGCCTTTGGACTTGCAAGAGCCCAGTGGCACCTGAGCCTTTGAAATGTACAAGAGCTCTGGTGGGGGTCTTGTACATTTCAAAAGCAGAATTGCAGCAGAAGCGGCAGAATGGAGACTGCTTCAGTCCCCACTTGCGCTGTTTCCCGAGGTGCCTCTACCTCCCCTACCTTCTGTGGAGACGGTGCTGGGGGGAAACCCGTTTTTAAGCCAGCTCCCCCCTTAGCTGCCTCTCTCTGATAGGAGGAGGAGGGGGAAGCAACTAGTCACATCATTAGTTGACTAGTCGCTTACATCCTTAGTCCACAAAGAGAACGGAGGCTCGATGGGCCAGTCTTTGGAGTCTGAGACACATTATTGCAAGTGACAAAGCTTTCCATTTATTTCTCTGCATCCGGGCTAGAACTTAAAAGACTTTCTAGCTCCTCGTCTCTCAGCTGCTTCCACTTACAACTAAAGGAGGCACTCCGTTCTGCGATTGTGGGACTTTTGGGCAAGTATTTGACGTTGTTCTCCATAGGGACAAGCTGCAGTAATATCTTTTACTGGACCTGCTGCTGATAGAGAGACAATCCTGTGAGCTTACACAGAGCTCTTCTTTGGGTCGGGTAAACAGAGTGTCATAGCTAAATATTTCCCATGGAGATCATTAGATTGGCTTACACATTGAGCTGTGAGACGCTGAGTAAGTTTCCAAGATCTGGAGAAGAACTCTGTAAGCTTAAAAGCTTGTCTGTCTCAGCAGCAGAAGTTGGTCTAGTTAAAGATATTACTTTATGTTGTTCTGTAGGCCATTTCCCCTATACAGTGTGTGGCTTTCCCACCCATAAACTGTACAAGGCAGGCCAGCCAGATCCTTATTTTTCAAACACCTGGAGTTGAATTCACATGCAGCACATGGGAGCAAAATAAGATTTTTTTTTTGGACATGTATCCGTTAGACCAAGTGGAACCGATACTTATCAACAAGAGCTCTATTTTTACTGTGCTTTTGGCCCCACTTCTATTTGGAATCTTATACTCCCACGCTAATTGGAGTTTTATATTCTACATAGGACAAATACTCAGCTGTATCTAACACAATTATGCAAAATATTAAATCGATTGATTGTTTCATTCTAAAGACTTGTGGTTATCAGGTTATTACCTTGAAAAATGAGGATTATGACTGTAATTTAGAATGCAAAGATTACTTAGTACATATTTCCTACATAAGAACTGATCATTAATACAACTGTATCTACTATATATTTGAGATAGTTTGTCTGTCTGTCTGCCCAAGAACCCTTCCTAAATGGCAAGAGCTAGGACAACCACATTCAGCGTATAGCTTCCTCTTATCACAACGTAGGGCAAGGTAAGGGTTTGGTTGTGCCAGGAAAATAGGATGTACATGAAATGGGATTGCTTCTCATTAAACTATATAGAAAAAAGATGGAATCACCAGAAAGGTGAAAGGGGCTGGCTGGAGGTGCCCTGCCCCCCACATCTAGGATTACCTCAGCCCTGAGCATCCCACCCGCAATGGAGGGGGGCCAATCTGAAGCTTTCCCATTCAATTCGTACAGGGACATTGCTGGCTGATCCCCTTCTTCACAGACCAAGGGTAAGTGCACAGTTTGCTACATTCCTTACTCTGAGTGGGGTGCACAGAGAGCAGATGAACCTGGACCTGCCCCTGTCCGGGAACATCACCTCTCCCCCCAGCTTTGCCTGCTGGAGCTACAGCAGCCATGGGGAGGTGCTTCTCATCTGGTCCCAAGTTGCAGTGGTGAGAGAAGGCTGGGGTAGCCCTCTTTCCCCAGGGCAGCCTGCATATGGAACCCCTCATTCCCAGCCCCACTTCAGAGTAATGATGCAACGCATGTACATTTTCATTTTATTTCCCAAAAACAAAACTTAATTGAGTGAAGGACCCGAGCAATTCTCAGTAAATCTTCTAGTCTATTATAAGGTCAGTGGTTTGCTGAAAACCAAAACAAAATGGGAGAATATTTTGAATACAGTTACATCATATTATTTTCTAATATATGTTCAGTACTCAGCCATCAAAGTAATGGCTGCATATTATTTAGAAACCATTATGCCTATGCTGGCTGCAGTTCATTCTTTTTCACCCTTCTCCCTCAAAAACAACACAACACAAGCCAGACACTTAGGGGGGGAAAAAAGAATCCTGGGATGTGATATTTTGTTTTCTTATTTGATTTGGAAGAAAAAAAAAACCCTTACC